ATGGACATGGATGGTTCCTAGCCTCATGGAGTGAACCATGGGGTGGGAGCTGCCATTAGATAAATGAATTCAAATGTGTAATTATAAATTGTGTTAAATTTTTGAAGGGAAAGAATTTGAGACTCCAAGAGAGAATACAGTTGATCCTAAGACTTCGGAGCAATCGGGGAGGAAGTCGGGGGTGAGATGAGTTGAATGGGGACGGACTGGGGGAAAGTGTTTCTATGCAGAAGGGAGGGGGTATGAGGAGCCCTAATGGGCCCATTAGAAGATGAGTTTACAGAGAACCAGGGTAGAGAGCACAGGCACAGGGATTATTAGTGGAGACGGGCAATCATGCAGCACATTGGGTCAGGCAGAGGAGTTTGCAATTTATTCTAAGATTCAATGGCTGAGTGACATGATCTCACCTATTCTTTTAAAAGGCTATTGCTGAACATCCTATATGAGCTTTGCTATGCTTAACAAAGAATTAAAATCTAATATATAAAGAGCTCCTGCAAATCAACATTTTTTAAAAAGGATAAGCATATAGGAAAATGAACAAAGGATATGAATAGTAAGTTCCCAGAAAAGAAAGGTGAGTTGTCATAATGCCGTGATTCTAAATCTCACTGATAATCAGGCAGTTGAAATTGTGATTCTGAGGCTCTGAAGAGAGGTCTGGTTTGTAGAGGGAAATTGGTCATTGTCGGTATTGATGTGATTGAAGTCATTCGAAAGGATAAAATTAACCATGGCAGACCACAGAGTGAGAAGAAAGGAGAGGCAGCCCCGGACTGATTTCTAAGTAACACCAAATCATCGGAAGTTGAGTAAAGGAGGTCCACAGGGGTCACTGTGAAGAGAAGGCATGCTCAGTTGTGTCAAACATCAAAGTGAGGCTCAAGGAGGCAGTGGTGTGGGGATGTGCAGGTCTTTGGGGACAAGTGTAATTCAGTGCTTTGGCAGCTCTGGAGGAGGAAGTTGAAACTGGGTTGAGTTGGGGGTGGAGAGATAAGTCTTCTTTGCTTACATTTGATTTTGGAAGGGAGCCAAGAAGTAAGGTAGTAACTTGTTAGAAAAAAATATTCAAGGGAGTTTTTTTTAAAAAAAGAAAGGGTGGTTCTAAAGTGTATGTGATGGGTTAGCCCAGGGTTTTTTCTTTGTGCTGCAGTTATGAGTTGCTCCAGCTTCCCAGGGGCACTGGTGGGAAGGTCGGGTCGCAGAAGCTGGGACAGTCGCTGGGCCTGGGCAGCAAGGGTGGGGGTGGGTGGTTTTTAAGGAGCAGAACAGTCATGGAGGCAGCGGTGGCACCTTCAGGCAAGTGCCACTTCACTTCTCGTGTGTCCCTGTTGGGGACACTCCTTGCTGCTATTCCCCTAGATGGCATTGGATGCTATTCGGAAGAGCTGGCAAATAAAAACAGTATGCAGTTTCTAAAAATCCTCTCAACGGTACATTACTGCAAACAGATATTTACTGAGGTATTTGCCTTATTTAAACAGGCATAATAAAATACACTAAGAGCTCATTAGAATAAACTCATTTTTCAGTAAGATGCGACTTGTGTGAATTGCAGGAATGACTTACTGATGAAAAGTAAAGTTGTAAAGCAACTGCTTAAACCAGATTGGAATGTAAGTGTGATGAAATCTAGTTTGAATTCTGAGTTTTATGGTTACTGTCACAACAGTGCTATTTTTCTTGTTTCTGTGTGTAACATTAAGAACAGAAGTTTATTTGGATGTGGAAGAAATGTAGACTACAGGAACTATAGTGTGCTCTGTAGTATCAATTAAAAATTAAGTATAAATACCTGTGTATGTAATCATTCATATTGATAAAAGCATTGTGTATCATCTCTTCGCTGTTGATCTTGTTCTCATAAAAATCATCAAGTGACTGTGCATTAATAATCTCTGTACATCATGTTAAGATATTATTACTAAGTTTAGCCAGAATAATGGCATTGTACTGCTGTATAATAATTGGGAGTCAATTTTATAATAACATGAAGAAACAGGAATAGAAGCTAAAAATGAATTGGATTCTCATAACAGTTTACATTAGGAATTATTTTCTGGAAGTAATGGATGTTTTTGTGGGGTACACATTGGTCAGTGTTTCAAGATATGACAATGATGGCAAAATTAACAATAATATACAAATTAGGGAAGATTAAGAGATTAGAAAACTAAAACATGCCATGATATGCTGGAAGGAATTTTTATTTTAATGATAGTTTTTCAAGTTAATAAAATATTAGTTGTGATTTTTCTTTATACCCATGACCACCATTTTTTATCCATGATCTGATGTACAAGTTTATTAAAAGTTATATTTGGATTGCAAGAAGTTACAGTTCATAATTATAACATCATTTTTAGATATTTCATATATGTTCTTCTAAAAAAGAAAGTTTGCATGTTATAAAGTAGTTGAATGCATTAAAGAAGGAATGATTGGTTGCATTATCAAAAAAATGCTTCACTTTTTGCAAGGGTTGATTGATACTATATGCCTGCATTATAGCTACTGGGAAGTTTATGTTTATTTTCTCATTTAATCCTTAGAACCACCCAATGAAGGAGTCCCCATTAAAAGTCACATATAACCACATAATATTGTGTAGAAAGTTAAATAGCAAAGGTCTTTCTTAGTAAGGGTCTGCATAAATACTGTCCAAGGTTTTAATGATTATGGCATAAATATTAAATGTTCTAATTATGTAGAATATTCTGAGGTTCTTACCACTTACTTTTCCTATTTTAACCTAATGTGACTATTATGAGAAGTCTGTCATTTGCTTCCAACAATTTTTAGATAATGCCTTTGTTAAATCTTGTTCTCCAGAGCAAAATAATGATACTGCTTTTTGTAACTATACAAGTATATTTATAAAACTGAAAGAGTACTGAATGCTTGAACCCCAGTATGTAATGGGGCCCACTGCACATAGTAGGAGCTTATCGATCCTCTTGAATCCTTTTATCATACATATATCCTTCTGTTTGTAGGAACAATTTAATTCAAACCCTCTGAAAAATTAATGTCGATTCTCTTTTAAAAATCTTCAAGGGAAGGAACTCCGTAGTCTTTTGTTTTTAACAGTAAATGTAAGTGGTTCCATTTATAATTTATGATTCACTACTGCCTCCTTTCTTTAACAAAGTCAGTGTTAAAAATATTTCCCCGATAAGTCAAAGGCTTCTGCGTCACATCTTCTTGTGAGCCCAGTTCTCTTGTGAGTTAGGAGATTCTGTGTACTGAGCATTCTCATTTATCTCTCCTTTCTCCAGATACCCCATTAGAGTAATAGGATAGGAATAAGAAAAGTACATAAACCAACAACTAGAAGGAGTTGAAGAGGGGCCAGCACAGAAATGTCAAAAAGCTGCTGGCAACCTGAAACCTGAAGGAGTCTTGGTGACTGCTAAAACTTTGTGGGGACTTCCCCTCATGGGGTCCCTCAAAGGCTCGGGACGTTCAATGCCAGAAGAGTGGAGTCCCTTGTGGGGCTGAAAATCCCAGGGTTTAACAGGATGCTTGTAGTCAGAACACTTCCTGGTTCAAGCGCCCCCCCCCCACCCTTTTGGTATACTCCCATGTTTATATAAGGCATATGTGTGGTTCCATTTTATGAACATGTGTCTTTTTTAATCCCTGTAGCATCCTATAAACAAAATGTTGTAGGCACCATTATACTGGTGAGCACAGAGCATAAGAGAAACTGAATACGTTACTCAGCATCGTACGGCCCGTGATGGCAGAGCCCACCCCAGAGCCCAGGTGCTCCCCACACTGTGACTTTGCCAACCTCACCATTATGGTGGTATCCTTCTGTAACAACTCTGTTCCTTTAGTTTTGAGCTAAGAGTCATGCTTTTGAAGCACCTAAACAACCTGTCCACCACTTGAGTCTTGAGTCTCTCAGAAAGGCTAAGTATTGGATGTACACAGGCGGTACCCGGGTCCGCTGGCTCTTCATGTGATGTGAAGGTCAGAATCACTGTGTGGGGGGATAGGAATCGTATTACCACCTGTTGCTGGTTTTACAAACCCTGTGGTGCCCCAGGAAGGCTCAGGGCCTCCCTGGGTGTGAATCTAACCCGACTAAGGCTTTCGAGATCTATAGCTTGGGAGATAATGCCAGGAAGTTACATTTTTCTCAGGTCTTGGGTTCCGAGCACTTGTGGAATATTGGCCTTGAAGGTCTGATATTTCTTTTTTCAGAAGATGCCTTTGATACATACATTCCTTCCTTTCCACTGAGCTGTCACTCCTGTTTTGGGCCCTGTCTCTCGTACTTAGTTTATCTGCAGTAGCTTCTACCTTGGTTTTTCTACCATTAGATTCTTGTTTTCCATTCAAGCCTATTTTTTCTTTAATTGGCCCTATTCTTTGTACACAAAGATATCCTGTTTATTGAACATCCTTGTTGACCTTTTTTAGCTGTACATTATTTTACTCTACCACCAAACAGTATTTCGCAGCGCTCTGTGCTCAGACTGCCGGATCTGCCAGGGGACCGCACTGCCTTTCTTCCTTTCCTCACTCACTTCCTCACTCTCATTAGTGCATGTTGTTCCTCTCAATCTAAAAATCTCTTCTTTTTCTCTCCATCTATACACCTTTTATATAATACAGAGCCTGGTTTTATTTTCTCACCTGGGAAATTTTCCCCAATTCTTCTAGCCCTCATTGATCTCTTTCTTCTTGGAACCAACTGAGCTACATACTTTATAATAACTATTCCTCACAGAAGTTTCTAAATAGGTTGTAAGACTTCAGTATCCTCTACTTAATCTCCTTCCTGCCCAGCAAAATCTAGGCACCTGGTAGGTATGAAGTCACCCATTGTTGACAGATTTGTTGTTGTGATTTTAGTACTTCAGGATGGTTCTTAAAACTAAGAGAAATGTTAAAATAATACACATATACAACAAAGTGTTGTGCTTTTAAGTTCATTTGATATTTGAGTGGTGTTGAAGTATGTTTCTTCTCTTTTGTCTCATCAGCAATCAAAGAAAAGTACACAGACTGGACAGAATTTCTCATTCGTGATTTGACTGGTTCCCGGACAGCACCTGCGAACCTCCTGGAAGGTGTATGTATTATTGTTTACAGCTATTCTATGTCTGAAGCATCACAGTTACTTGAGCTCAAACCTAAGAGCACCTTTGCATATATCCTTCTGCAGGTACATGTTTACACACAGGTATCTATGTCCAAAGAGTCTAACTTTTTTTTTTCTTTAAGTTACTCAGGTTATTGATTCTAATGACATTGAAAAATTTTTATCTGTGGTACAACCAATAAATTGAAAATTTGCTTCTATGTGAACAAATTTTTAAATAATAATTTGTTAGACCATATTCTCACTATCCTGTCTGTTTAAGCCTCTAACTTATATTAGTGAATGTAAATACAATCCTGTAGAACAACTGTTTTGTATAGGTGAAACTAAGCATATATAAGCTCTAGTATAGTCTCAGTATATTGATAAATTGTTCCATTAACTATTCCATTCTGGATGCATAACCCCAAGATTTAAATACATGTGTTAAGTAATGATTAAATTAACTTCTGTTATAAAAACAAGAGAATTAATGGCTAATCATATTTAAATGTAATTAAGGTGATTTAAAGTATTGGAAAAATAGTTTAATCTGATATCTTGATGGTTAATATGAAAATAATTTTATGATGAAACATTTCACTTTTACTGTATATAATAGAACAGGAAGAGAAATGTATTGCGTTACAAATAATTATTGAGTTAACAAATCTGTTTGAAGAATGCTTCTGAAAAAGGGGAAACAATGAATAATAAGGAATATGGTGTGGATTTCGACAATATAATTATTCTCTTAAACCTTCCATAAATTTCCCTTCTCTCATAAAATATATTGATACTTTGGAACACAACTGTCTAATATATTGGGTTACTGGGTTTGGTTTTGTGAAGATTTTGCCTGGTGTGTTTGTTTATCTTAATGGCTACTACTTTTATTGTTTGGTTAACAAATTATAGTGATGACTTTTCACCCTTTTAAAAAGACAAGTTGTTGCACTCTCTTAGGTTTTTTAAAACATAATTGCCAACAAGGCTGGCTGAACAAACACCCTTTCATATGTTAACATATGCTAAGATTGCTTAGGTAGAGCAGTAATTACATATATTCTCTAAACCAACTATCAAGTTAAATGTAGAAATAACCTGACATAATAATCTAATTTAGTGTATGTCATTACTGTGTATTACACATGCCATCCACACATATTCATGCTTTATGCAAGTAATCAAAGTATGAGAGAGGGTCTTGATATACAGCAGTGGGCATTGTAAGACATGTGTCTGTTGAATCCGGGTATAAACCTGCAGGCCCATATTAGAAAAGTAGACATTCTGCTACTACACCCTTTCTAGCTCAAAGCAAATTTGGGTATAACTCTTCCTAAAAGCATACTCATTTCTAACAAATGCAGTTTTATCTGGGAAGGGTGATTTGTTTGGTGAGAACTTAGCACAAACTGTTATTTCCTATTGACTTGTGATTTTTGTTGTTGGATACAGAGTTGGATATATGGAAGTGTGTGTGGGAGGAAGGGGGGGAGGGGGCGAGTCTGTGGAAAGAATGGGGGTGGAGGGAAACACCAGATTGTTTGCCAATAGCTTGGATGATGGTGTGAAAAAATATTATCTTCTGCTGTCATCTGTTTCCATGAGAACCTTAAAATAAAGTTTAAAATAAGGAGTTTTGCTTCTGTTTAAACAGCCTCTGCGAGGGAAAGGCCCTATAGACCTCATTACAGTTGATTCCTTAATAGAACTTCAGGATTCTCAGAACCCTTTTCAGTACTGGATAGTTAGTGTGATTGAAAATGTTGGAGGAAGATTACGCCTTCGCTATGTGGGATTGGAGGACACTGAATCCTATGACCAGTGGTTGTTTTACTTGGATTACAGACTTCGACCAGTTGGTTGGTGTCAAGAGAATAAATACAGAATGGACCCACCTTCAGGTAAGCTCTGAAGCTTTTGCTGCTGTGAATTCTTTGAAAAAAAGATGTGCTTTTTTCTGGATGTGTCTCTGGGAAATTTATGAGCTCTGTGGTATCCTGTACATCTGAGTATGTGAATATTAAGCGTTTTAACTTAAGAATACTTTCTATAGCGAATAAAACCTAAGACCTCAAAGAATAGTGTTCTAAAAGTAGCAAATTGTGTTGGCGGCTGTGGAAAAGTGGATCTAGTTCCTCTGGAATCACTGCTTCAAAAACGAAAGACAATAGATTGGAATTGGTTATATTCTCCCGTTTTCTTTGGGGATTTTGATAGTCTTGCAGGGAGGTTCCTGAACCTCCATCAGTCTATCCATTCATGCATCCATCCATCCGTTCATTCTCCATCTCTCCATTTACCCATCTGAGTATCCAGACCCAATGCTTATCATGGTATAATCTGTTCTAACTTGGAAATAGCAAAGAGAAAAAAATCGCCATGCTTTTTCCCCTGACATATCAAAGGTTTTAATTAGCTTCAAATGCACTGCCAAGTGACTTTCCCTAGACTTCTTTGGATAGAGTAGTGCTTTATGCTTTCTGACATACCTAAAGGGCAGCAATCTCAGTGTTTACAAAATAATAATTCTTGAATGTTTACTATATTCCAGGTGATTTTACATCTGCTTTGTTGTTTATTTTGATTCCAAAAAAGTGCTGCATGTTTGGTGTGAACATTTTTTTTTACAGCAGAGAAAATTGAGACTGGGTTTAATCTACTTATCCAGGGCGATCCAGTTTACTACGGAGGGGTGCATTATAATTAAATCTCAGGTCCTTTGCCCATTCGATTTCCCCTGCCGCCCCTTACTAGCCTCACCAAACTTCGGGTGGGTAGCCTTGGAACAAAAATGTTGGATTCTTACGGAATTAAGGATGCCAGGGAAGAAATACGCATTTCTTCTAGAAATGCTGATCTTCATACTGGTGAACTTTGCAGGTTTATTGGAAGCAAGGAACTGGATCTTTGCTTTATTAAAATTGCCAGAGAATTTCCTCCTGCATTAGTTGTCACTGTTAGTCTTGAGTAAATGAAGCTGAGGAGTTATATTTCCGTTTTCTGTCACTCAAGGGAGTTAATTGAAAAAACTTCCTGGTTCTGTATCTCATGTGTTTGCATTTGTGTTGAATTTGACAGGCATATAGACATGTAGCATGGTACTTTATTAGTATTATTGTTGTCAGCGTTTTGAGAAGCAGCCAAGAAATCCATTTATACCCTGAGTAATTTTGGACTTTGATGACAAACAAAGGGCTTGTCGGCTGCCGAGGAGAGATCTAAGCTCACGTTTGCCTCGGGATTCATAACACTGCAGGAGAAATTTACTTCGTGTGGAAAGCCGGGCGTATGAATCTTAGCTTAGTATCTAATTGCTTTATAAATTTAGGGGAAACACATATTTGCCTGTGTAAAAATTTATAGCAAAACAAAGGATTACTAGTAGCTTCTTAGGCTCTTTGAAATGTTTCTTACCCGTGAAATCGTGAGACTAGAACTCAAAGCGTGAATGGAAAATGTCAAGGTAGAAACTTAGGAAATATTTGCATATGCGAGCTCTTCTTTTCACATAATTTGATCTCTTTATAAGATAAGAATAAGTCATGTTTATTTGTCTTAGTCATTTTTCTGGACATGAGTTGTCCATTTCATTGAAGAGTTAGTTGTATGAGTCCTTAAAGACTTTGAGGCATTCCTCATTAAGAAGTTTTTTTCCCAACATTTAAATTGTCAGCAAGAAAGGCTACATATGTGAATGGGAAAATAAAAGGAATAAAATGAGAGGAAATGACTCTCAAAATGTGCAGTAGTTACAAGATGAAAACTAGGTTGTGTTACCTTATTCAGCTGAACAGTACCCCGGGGAGGCAGTTATTACCTGTGTCTTACACATGGGATCAGAACCCAGCACTCTGGGTTTGTGGAAATTAATTTCAGGTCCCAGTTGCCTTGTAAAACTTACATGGCAGTGCTATTTCCTTAACCGAAATATAGGTGGAAATAAAATTTCAGATTTGCATAGAAAACATGAGGCTACGTTTTAAAAAATTCCCAACATCCTTAAATAAATGAAGAGTGTTTAGCATTAACTGGTGGTGAGAAGCAGAGTTGAAAGGGTGTGGGGGAGGCTGTGCTTTCAGATGAGCCCTTGTGAGGTCTCCCTTCTCTCAGCGCCGTCTTTGCTGTACACCCCATTACCACCACCATCCGTGCTAAAAATAACCACAGGTCTTCCTTTTGTTTCACTTATTCTTTCTACTTTTTAACGGGCACAAGAGTTCCCGACTGTTCGGTGCAAGCAGAGGTAGGGGAAACAGGTAGTAGAAAGTAGCTAGGAAGGTAGTCTTCAGAACTCGAGGAAGAGTGGCTGGAGTTTACCCTGTCTGCCAGTGAGGACCCCATAGTCACTCTGCCTTTTTTTTCTACTGCAAATCAGAGGAAGGAGCTTGGGGGCGGGGGGATAGAAGCAAAGGAGCCACCCCACTTGACTCACACATACAGCTGTCCAGGTGTCACGCAGGTGCTGACAGAGTGGGCTGGATCCAGCCTTAGCGAGCAGAGTTGTAAGGGAAGAGAAGTGGTAAAAGGCAATTAGTCATGAAAGGGGGCAGTGGTTTCATAAGGTCCAAAGCGGTTCAGCCTGTTCGGGGAGAGGGCCGGTGTTCCTGGCAGTGCCTTCTCTTCTGCGCTGAATGGAAGGCGAGTGGTAGGGCTTTGCCAGCCTTGTGTCCCCACCACACTCCACTCGTTTATTTTGCAGCAGTTGGCCTCCTCTGCTGCGCGGGCTTACCAGCACGTCCGTTTTGGGAATGCTGCTGGCGTGGCCCATGCCTTCACGTCACTCAGACTGTGAGAGGGTTTTACCACCTAGTCTAACTGCAAGTCTGTACCTTCTGCGCTGCTGTCTCCCCAGTATCTGTCACAGTGCCTGGCACATAGTAGGTGCCAGGCACGTTTGATAGGAATTTACTGAACAAAATGTCAGGTATGTCTATAGAGAAGGAAGGAACCAGACAAGTCCATCTCCTAGGGGCCAAAATAATTGACAGGGCTTTGGAAAGGAATTTGGAGGGGAGGACCCAGAGTGAAGACATCCCCAAAATGATGAGGGCTGTACTACTGTCCTCTTTTCTTCTGATGTGTTAGGGGAGCTTTTGAAAACAGGCTTGGAGCAAGGAGTGGTGCTCTTTGTTGATACCATCTCTTGTTTAGCTTCTAAGGTAGCTCTAAGACATGTGAGATACACAGGAATATGGTCTGTGAGATCCATGAAAGGCTTTGCTCTTTTCAAAGGGCCCATGTGTGACTCGAGCTGAAGAAACCTAGCAAAGTAGAAAGAATGTGGACTTGGAATCAGGGTCCAAGTAAGTGTCTCCTTTGGTCTCTGCCACTAGTTACAGGGCTCCTGGGCAAGTGACTGTACTTCTTTGAACCTCAGTTTCCTTATCTGTAAAATGGGGATAATTATATGTTTGCTGTTCAGTGTTATAGTACCCCCAAATGATTGGCATTTTCTAGGTATTCAGTCTGTGGTGAGGGTACTATGGTGATATTTGGTTCTTTGAGTTTGGGTCATTTGGAGGTCCTACTGGATGTTTAGAAAGCAAGATAGAGTCACATGTGTTCTTGCTAAAGCTAAGATGAAACTTTTTGAGTTTTTTAATCTGTTCTTAAACTTTTTTCCCATTTTTTTCCCTTCAAAGTCTTTGTCAACCTTAAAAAATTTTGTCTTTCTTATTTTAGTTAGATCCTGGAGTCCACAAGTTTCTGCATCTAACTTAAATGCTTCCTGTCTGCACCTTTTCTTAGTCCCAAAAGAACTGTTGCTTTCTGCATTAGTCAGCTCAGCTGCCATAACGAAGTGCCATAGACTGGTGGCTGAAACAACACAAATCATTTTCCCCCAGTTCTTTGACGGAAGTCAAAGATTAGGGTGTCAACATGGTTGGGTCTGGTGAGGGTTCCTTTCCAGGTTTGTAGACAGCCTTCTTCTTGCTCTCTTCTCCCATAGCTGCTTCTTTGTGAATGTGTACTGGAGGTGTGGGGGCAAAAGATAGAGAAGACTACTGGTCTCTTCTTTAAAAGGCTCTAATCCCATTATGGCGCTCCACCCTCATGACCTCATCTAACCCAATTGCCTCCCGAAGGCCCCTTCTCTATATACTATCACATTGGGGGTTCGGATTCTAACACATCCATTTTGAGAGGACACAAACATTCGATCCATAACATTTTCCAGTGTCTGTTAACAACCCTAGATTAGTCTTTCTTCACTGGTCAGAACCTGGTGGATAAGGAAGGAGTAGAGGTTTCAGGTGCGAAAAAAAGGTATCGCCCCTTGAGACCTCCTTTTTTTTTTAAAAGACTTTATTTATTTATTTTTAGAGAGGGGAAGGGAGGGAGAAAAAGAAGGAGACAAACATCAGTGTGCCTTTGCCTCTCATGTGCCCCCTACTGAGGACCTGGCCCACAACCTAGGCATGTGCCCTGACTGGGAATTGAGCTGGTGACCCTTTGGTTCGCAGTCTGGTACTCAGTCCACTGAGCCACACCAGCCAGGGCAAGGCCTTCTTTACGCCGAGGCTGAGAGATGATGGTTTGTGTGCTCCGGCTTCCTGCAGCACTTACTGTGAATCAGCCTGCCAAACACTTGACGAAGGGAGATCACCTCCTTTTCACTTAGGCTCCTAGTTAAAGATGAATCAGTATGGATTTTAATTGCTTATGACTTCCCCACAAACAGAAATTGACATGATATACTCTGGTAAATTACCTGCAACACAATCATTTTAAGAAAATGTTTTATGTTCTTTTAATGGTGCTATTTATTGTCCATAAACTTGCCAATGTAACCACATGCCTCTTGTCTAATGAAACGCACACATGGAATATTGTTCTTTGCTTATTGAAACCACGAGGTGTTTAGCTTTTGCAGATGGTCGAGCATACTGACAAAACTGAAGTTGATTTTCACCTTTTAAGAGAAGTGTGCCTTGCCATGGGGTTAAATTCCATGTTAGGATTTAATACTCACAGGAAGAAGACAAAGAATAAGACTGTAGGACAGAGAGAAAAATCATGTGGAACCTGGGTGTCTTAATCCATTCTGTCTACCATAACAGAATACCACAGATTAGGTGGTTTATAAACATTCATTTCCCCCAGGCCTGGAGGCTGAACATCCAAGATCAAGGCACAGGCAGATTCAGTGTCTGGTGAGGCTCTTCTCCCTAGCTCGTCGACGGCTGCCTTCTCCCTGTGTCCTCACATGGTGGTATGGGTTAGGGAGCTCTCTGTTTTCTTTAGTTCATTTTTTTTTAAGGGCACTAATTCCATCATGGAGCTCTACCCTCACAACCTGATAACCTCAGAAAGGCTCCATCTCTGAATACCATCACATTGGAGGGCATGATAGTCAGCATAGGGATTTGGTTGAGGGAGGTGCAAACATTCAGTTCATTGCACTGGGCTTCTTGTTACATTTGTCTCTGGTTTGGTGGGAGAGAGGTGGCATCTGGTGACCGAAGGCTCTGCTCTCTGGATGACTTGGTAAGCAGCTGGGATGACTTGAGTTCTGCACATCACTTTCTTTTCGGTTCTGGTAGTTTGGACCTAACCCTGGACATTTTGGGTTTTCATTGTTCTGACACTAATTTTTTTAACCACCCCTCTTTTACCCTCTTCCCCATCTCTTCTCCACCCTTAGAGATTTCAGGGATAGACCGCAGGAGCTCAGGGCATCTACACAGTGGACCGTTTCTTCCCTTTTTCTCACCCTTTACATCTGCAGACCCTTCCTTGGGTCCTGTCTTTGGAAATTGCCATCCTTTCTTGTGACTTGATTATCCTTTTATTACTATGCTGAGGTGGAACTCCCTACCACCCTCTTCCAGATCCCAGGAAAAGCGAATCTGTTCTTGTCTCCTCAGGAGGTCCAGGCTTTTGCTTGTTGCCAAACTGCCTGCCTTATTGAGTGGCTGCAGTTGATGTCCTCTGGCCTTTGTCCTCTAGAGACCTCACAGTTACCTCCTTCTTCACTACGGTTTTGATACCATGCCCCTGAGCTGAACCACTAGGCACTCTCACGGGTCCGTCCACTCCTCATGGGACAATTGATGGGTCTCTGTGACCTCGTTCCTCTTTTACCTTTGTGGGACCCCGCGATAAGGGATTTCTCACACAGTACCCCCTTCTCATCTGCAAGGCTGGAGGAATAATTTATTCATTCTCTGCAGAGGTATTATTGGAGCCTCACTGTTTTTCCCCAAATACATTAGATACTCCTCAGAAGAATCACATTCTATTTTTGTTCTGACATAGAAATGTCAAATTGGGGAAAAAAATAATCCCCAGAAGTAGAAGAGCGTAAATGAAAGGCTAGAAAGGATTCTAGACAAGATACACAGTGGAACCTAGTTAATCATTACTACCCCTTTCTGTGCCTTTGTGTAACTGACAGTGAATGAAGTGGGCAGAGCATTGATAACTTGCCTAGTTTTGGCAGCATCTTTTGCCTACCATGATTACGGTAGCCTGGAAAGACTAAATAAATGGCTAAAACACAGGGACTCCCAGCTCAAGGTGAGTTCAGGAGCGGTGAGAATCAAAATATATGGCTCTGTGCTAAAAAGCAGACATGCAAGAAATTAAAAATATAGCCCCAAAGGTTTAATGTTGCCTTTTAACTGTGCTTAGATTCATATTCATACCCTAACTGTCTGTCTGAGGTAGCCAGGGTTGATATAGGGAAGATATAAACATATCTACTTCAAGTGAGTGCTTCTGCAAATCCAGTTTTGATAAGGTCTTAAATCTGTTGAGATCACATCATAAAATTTCCCTGCAGTTTCAGCAATCGGTGAACAACAAACAGTGCTCAACCATTTTTTTCTTTTAATTTTGCATTCAGACAGTGAAACCTCCATTTGTAAATCCCTCTCCTGCCACTGCCCAGGGAAAATGGTGGGCAACATGTGGTGTACTAGCAACATTTCAAGTGTAAATATTAAACTTGGTTGGTAAATTTTAATTTACCTTTTAATAATGTTCTGACTTACATGGACTATTTTTAGCATGTGAGAGCTTAGAGATTTAGTGAAAAATATGCTGTAATAACTGAAAATGCCAGGCAAGAGTCGTTCCTAGTTTAGCCATTTATCAGATAATAAGTTCTTCATCAGTGGATATTGCTTCCCAGGTAATATATGAAATTTGGGGCAGTGGATGACTGAAGATGTTGCTAATGTGATTTATACCATTAAATTACTTACAGAATGCCAACAGAATGCATGCAAATGTTCCCTGAAGAAGAGCCCTATTAAGTTTATTCTTCATTTCTGAAAGCTGAATCCCAAGTTGCTATTTAACTTCAGAAAATCCCTTTAGCAGGTGGCCTTTTATGACGGGCAGGGTGTGAATTCTTACAGTTGCTGAGTGTACTGGCTTATTATGAAATCCTGGGAAGATTAAATTCAAGAAAAAAACCTCTCAGTTGAACATTTTAGTCCTTTAACTCTTGTGTGGTTTGCTGTTGATACAGAAATTTATCCTTTGAAGATGACCTCTGAATGGAAATATGCTCTGGAAAAATCCCTTATTGATGCCGCAAAGTTTCCTCTTCCAATGGAAGTTTTTAAGGTAAGGTGTGGATTCACAACAATTTGTCTACTCTTGTCAAGAATAGATTGGATAGAAAGTTTCGTATATCAATTTACTTCCCATTAGTTAAAAAGCTACCTTCTTGGCCAGTTTCCATTTTAAATGTTTAAAATGTTATCTGCTCTGTTTTGCTATGTTTTGTAATCTTCACAAAGACTCAAATTACAAGATATGGATTAAAATTTTTCAGGTTTACTGTTTTTCTCCATAATGTATTATCATAGAAATCTCATTTTCATTTCCACACTCGTTTCCAACAAAAGAAAAGAAAATAGAGCATGTCTATTTTAGACATTTGTTTGGCAAAAATAACAGAAAATGATGCTTGTCTTGGTGGTTCAGTTTCGTTGATGGCTCAAGAAACTTGCAAGAGTGCCTTCCGGATGGCAGGCCCTCTTCTAGGAGCTGGCAGAATGTGAAGGGAAGATACCACAGCTGAGATGGGTTGTCAGGTTCTCAACACTTTAAGTCATTCCTGACGCTTGTATGAAATAGAATATTAGCTCTGAGCAGGGATGATCTATTCAGCTCAGAGGAAATCGTGAAACAAGCTCCGCTTATCGGGAACTTAAATACATGAGAAAGCTGCACCGTACTGTTCTGTGCTTGAACGCTAAATGCGGCTCTAGGAGACTGACATAGGCCTGTTTTCCAGCTCTGAAAGGGCACATTTCTGCAGTACCATGGAAATTTCTTAAGGAAAGCAGAGTTAAACTGGTGTTTCGGTACCACAGGCAGGAAGAGTGAAGGCTTGGGCTGTAGCAGTGGTGTCCTGGATTTTATTTATACTGAAGTCCTCACTCAGAATTTTAACCCATCACGGAAAATCACGAGCTTGCTTGTTTGCACTTTTCTTGTTGGTAACATTGATTTACAAAGACCTCTTTTAAAACGAGTTATATAGTTATATTCTGAAATTTAATTGAATGGTGACCTTTACATATTTTGTAAAAATACTAAGAGGAAAGTACTAGAGGAACAGTATAAATATAATGTTGTCAGCAGTAGTGATCACTGACAATGAACATTATTTGGTTTTGGGTTTTGTTTTGTTTTGTTTTTTGGCTAACTGACCAAATACTTCTTATTTTTCTCCTTCTCACTATCGTTTCTCCCCCTATGTCTTTTCTGATAATATCCTTCCCCTGCAAATAATAATAATAATAATAATAATAATAATAATAATAATAACAATAATAATAATAATAATAAAAGAAAAACAGAATTTATTCTTTTGTAACCTGCCAGGCCCCACTGTCTCTCCTCAGTCCAGTCGGTCCTCACTCCCTTGGCCTCCATAGTTTATATCCACTCTCTTTACAGTGGCCTTGGTAATGTTTTAAATATACAAATCTGATCCCATCCCTCATCCTTGAAAAAATAAAATTTGTTTTGTAGCATATCATACACATGTGGGGAGTTTAAAGAGTACTCTAGTGACAATACAAAGACCCGCCCTCCAGTGTAGGCATGGGAGGTCGCCTGCACGCTACAAGCCTTCCACTGCCCCTGCCCTGATCCTCTCTCCTGGCTCTGCTGGGGTCACCGGTGCCCTGCCTTTTGTGTTAAGCATTTCCTTGTGTCTCTTGGTAGTGTTACAGCTGTGTACATTTTCCTAAATGTGATATGATTTCCCTTTGACAAAATAGGAAGCAAACAATCCTAATTGTCTCAGGAGGCCTCTTTCCTGCCCTTTGGAGGGGAAGAAGGCTGGACTGTGTCTGGGGCATCAGCTGGCTCCACTTTTCCTCAGAGTTTACAAGAGAACTGAGTAGGTAAAGTCATGAGCTAGTCTTAAGAAACTTAGGTACCATAGTCGGGACATCTGCCAAAGTTGTAGCATGAACTCCAGGTACTAGACGAGAGCATGGAGAGGAATTGCCGGTTTATATTTTCTGCTTTTGTGGATCACTCCCGTTCAGAAATAGACCCAAACTGGACATTTCTATGAAGTGAATTGAATGTTCTCATCTGCCCCAGGAAGCACTGAACATTTCTATGAAGTGAATTGAATGTTCTCATCTGCCCCAGGAAGCTGGGCCTAGAGCAGGGACAGGGAGCTTGTCTAGCATGTGGTCAGAAGGAGCCAGATGTTAACAGTCTTGGGGTGGCATTCGATCCTCAGGTTGCAAAGGCGATAAACTGTGCCAAGCCACCTTAGTGATGTGGGCCTGCAGCATCTCTTCTCACTTCCACTGAGCGAAAATGCCTTCTTTCTATCCTCGTGCTTCACTGATGGTTTGTTTGGATACGGAATTCTAGGTTTGAATTTGGAGGCACTCCCCCCATTTTTTTCTTCCCTCCTCTGGAGTCTTATATTCTGTTTTTCTCATTGTTCTCAGATTTCACAGTGGCATACTTTGGTGGGCATCTATTTTCCTCCGTAGCGCTGGTTTATTTCTGGCCTCCAAAACTCATGCCTTTCATTTTGGGATATTTCTTTTAAAACAATATCTTCCAGTTCTCTTATTTTTTTGATTTGTGCCTATATGGGTATGGTACTCCTAAACTGGATTTAAAACTTTTTTTCCTCAGGGTTTTTTTTTTTTTTTTAAATATCCTTTTCTGTCCTCATCTCTGTCAGAAGTTTTTTCAACTTCTTTGTGCTGGCATGTTTTATGAGCACTTGTTTGGTGTTTTGTCTCTGAATGGTCTGCTTATATAGCCGCCTGTTCTCATGTCATGGAAGCATGAGTTGTTGGAATTATTGAGTTAATTTTTTACTCCCTGATTGATTTGTTTCCTCCACCTTGCTTTGGGTTTTTGTTGTTCTTGTTAGAGGCTTTCTTCAGATACCTGAAAACACTTGACTGTCTGTTCTTGAATAAGAGGGGGGATTAGAGAGCTGTGGGTAGGGCTGGTCGCTGAAGGTCACCTTGGAGGGCTACTTTTTGTACAGTGTCTTTTTTTTTTCCTTTAGCTCATTTTCCAGGGGGAGTTTTTCAACTTCCCACCTGGGGTTCAAGGTCCAAATGCCAGTGTCCTGAGTGGTGAGAAGTGGGCCCCGGGCTTCTGCACTGGGTGCTTCTGTGCCAAACCCACAGGCCAGGGACCGCCGCGGGGGAGGTCAGTGGCCTTGCAGAATCAGGGAGAGGAAGGTACACAGAGGCCCAATGACTTCTCAAAGAGTTCCTCAGATTTATTTTATCTACTTTCATTCCCAGTTATGGACACATTTAGTGTTACAGGTTTCTGAGGATTCAGTAGCCTTCCCTAGGGTGGGTTCTCAGCTTTTCTACTGAAGGCTTGGGATTTGACCATATTGAATATACAAAGTTACTTGGCTTCTTGTTTATTTGGACCTTAGCTTCTATACCATTGTTGCTGTTGAATGGATTTGTGTTTTCTTTTTTAATCTCTTTACTGTAATTTTGGTTAGAGTTTAGGAAAATGTAAAATGAGTGTGGATTTTTAGTTTACCATCTTAACCTGGCACTCGCACTTTAAAAATCATGTAGCTTGGACTAGAGGGTAAAGCCCCCACATCCTCCCAAGGCCACCGGGACTGGGGTGACCTCCCCTCCTGCCCTCTGCAGCCTTCTGTCGGTAGGTTGTTCTGTGCCCTCTTGGTGGGCTGGGCTGCACACACCCTGGCCTTTTCTCTGTTCTTCAGATGCCCTTTGTCCCTGTTTTGTACTTCCTGTTACATTCCTACTCACCCTGCAACTGCAAATATAGATACCCTAAAAGAGGTCTTTGCTGGAGCTCTGGCCTCAGCCCCCATAAGATGTGATATTGGGCTCTGCTGAGTGCCATCTGCTCTGCCTCATCACCAGGCCACACTTGCATAACATCCATCTCCTTTTGTCTAACTTTGAAGCTCTAAGAAGGCAAGGACCATGTCTTTTTATTGTTCATTGTGGAATCATTCAACCAAACATAACTCCTTGACTGTAATAGCGCTCAAAAAATATTTGTCAAGTAAATGTACTAAGTCTTGAATGGACATATGTACTTCGCTCCTTGAACTAAAAAATTTTGAGCTAAAGTAGATTACTTGAATATGCAGACTTATTTAGAACTATAAATACAAAGACTCAAAAGGTATTAATAATAAATTAATAACAGGTATTAATAATCCTAATATATTTTTAATTAACAATGTATTCATTAAACATTAAGCAGCTACTTTGCACAGAACTGTAGACTGGATTCCATGGCTTAATAATTTGTTTACATATTCCAAAATACAGTTACTTTCCTTACTTTAATGTCTTTCTGTTAGTATTTAGACCATTATTTTGATGGAATACCTGCAAATTATCATCATAATCAATCTTTTGTTCCTAATTGATAGTTACTGTGAGAGTAGTTATTCAGTGTTGTTTTTATTTGTCACAGAACCTACCACAAAGAGAACATATGGAATAGGCACTTCATAAAAAATTGGTTGAATTGAAAATTATGTTTTCGTAAAGCTTTTTAGGTACTTTTATAAATGTTTTCTCTTATTTTTATTTAATGGAAAAGAAATGGGCAGTTTTACTTTCTTAACCTTGCTATGTATGGACTGAATATTTACACATTTAATTTTGAAATTATGAGAACAGTTATTGTATTAGTTTCTTAAGGCTGCTGTAATAAATTGCCACAAACTGGGTGGCTTAAAATAATGGAAATGTATTCTGTCATGGTGATGGTGAGAAGTCAACATGAAGGTGTCAGCAGGGGCCTGCTTCCTCTGAAGGCTGAGAGAGAAGCTTTCTCCTGAGTCTGGCCTAGCTTCTGGTGGTGGCCTGTAGTCCTTAGCATCTCTGGGAGTGTGGCACCTAACTCTGATCTCTGTCTTCATATTCACATGACCTCTGTATGCCTATCCAAGTTTCAATCTTCTCTGTTGACACCAATCATTCGATTTGGGGCCATGGTATTGCAGTGTGACCTCAGTTTAACTTGTCTACATCTGCAAAGACCCATTACCAAATCAGGTCACATGCACTAGTTCTAGGTAGATGTGAATTTGTAGGGGACACTATTTA